GTCTATAGAGTGGTGTGCGCGTGGTGTGTGACATGCGTCCTAGTCGACCGACGGCGGGCTGCGCTTGGGACCTTAGCCCCCCCCGAGATGTCGGTTCGCGTGCGGGTCCGATAGGCGTATTACCGCGCGTACCGCCTATGCTACAGCGAATGAGAAACGCCCTCGGCTGGTCCACCTCTGCGATTGCAACTAATTAGCTTTCGTACTGTGGACTGGTAGCTCGGCGGGGATACGCCCACCGAAGGGAGGTGACAGCTCCCGTAAGGTGGAGGTAAGTTGTGCCTCGCGTAGGCCTTATCATGTCGTAGGGGCTTGCGAGAGGTATGGCTGGCGCACTCGGGTGGAGCAGCCTAAAGAAGCTCCATTTGTGTGTTCGTGACGAGGTTGGTCCAACTCCTGCGTGACACGGCCGAGAGGGTCCCGCGCTGCCACGTGCGGTGCCGGATCGACGCACTCGACAACAGTAATGCACACAATTATCCTACACTATGTAGACTTTATCCAAAATATCCAAAATATCCAAAATTATCGAAAATTATATCCGAGAATTATATTTAAAATTATATTCAAAATTATATTCAAAATTATATTCAAATATATATTCAAAATTATATTCAAAATTATATTCAAAATTATATTCAAAACTAACTATATTCAAAACTAACTACGTTCAAAACTAACTACGTTCAAAACTAACTATATTCAAAATTATATTCAAATTTATATTCAAATTTATATTCAAAATTTTGCATTCTCCACGCACAGTCGTTCGACAATGATGGGACAATGATTGATGCAATTTAGCACACAAGCATGGGATAATGAATGTAGACATTCTAGGCATTTCAGACAAATATATGGTGCGATGGGTTCTGTTGTTGTTGTTGTTGTTGTTGTTGTTGTTGGTTTTTTTTTTTTTTTTTTTTTGCTTAAAGGGGGTACCTGCTAAAAGTGTCGTATCCTTCCTACCTCCTTTTTTTTTTTTTTTTTTGGCCAACGTTCTCTTTATCCGCAAAGGGTCCGGTGCTCAGGACAGGTTCGCAAGCTCAACTGAATGAACAGAGCCCTGTCCCTGTCCACATACATCTCGACCACAGCTAATACAAACCAACGACCTAATTCCATTAGGACTTTCTTTTTTTTATTTTTACTTTTATTTTTCGGTGTGTTAGTGATACTGAATTAGTTAAAATCCCGCAGACGGTCAAAAAAAAAAATAAAAAAAATCTTATAGACACCGCGACCACGAATTCGGTGTGTGAGTGACATTTTGATGAGAGTTTTTAATGTTTTTTAATTTATTATTATTATTATCATTATTATTATTTTGATATTTCTAAGGAGGTAGCTCGTGTTGTTACTTTATACAAATCTGATTTCGTTGATATTATTTTGACATGCTTCGAACTTGTGATCTGTTTTTTTTATAGCTGACATGGCCGGTGTGCTCCAATGCAATGATAATTACAAATTTTACCCGCCGTTAATTACAAATTTAAGCCGCCGTTAATTACAAATTTCAGCCGCCGATAATTACAAATTTCAGCTGCCATTAATTACAAATTTTACCCGCCGTTAATTACAAATTTAAGCCGCCGTTAATTACAAATACCAGCTGCCGTTAATTACAAATTCCAGTCGCCGTTAATTACAAATAAAAAAATAGAAACGATAAAATGACCTCCAATGTGAACTATAAGGAATATTTGTGGGGGGCAGTACATAGTTTCAAAGATAGTTGGACAGGCGTAGAGGTCACTTTATCGTTTTTCTATTTATGAAAAATGTAATTAACGGCTGAGGTGTCCTTGACACTGTATCTAGACTGAATGTTGGCAGAAATACAGACTCAATGACCGTGCGTTCACCCGCCCCCCTCTCCCCCCCTCCTTGCCTGTAATTGATATATGTAGTATAGGCCAAGTGTTGTTCTTAATGTTTGTTACGTGGCCATCCATGCATGGTCTCTCTGGTAGCCGCCGCAGTGCCTTTTTTTTTTTTTTGGGATTCATATTATGTGTTCTACTGAACCTTCCGTGTTTGTTCGGTTTACCCTGTGATGATCCGCATCATTATCCGTATTCGTGCCTGATGCCCTTTTGGCGGGAAGGCTGATCAAACACCTGCTGCCCATTTTGGCGGGAAGGCTGATCAAACGCGTGCTGTCCATTTTGGCGGGAAGGCTGATCAAACACCTGCTGCCCATTTTGGCGGGGCTGATCAAACACCTGCTGCCCATTTTGGCGGGAAGGTTGATCAAACACCGGCTGCCCATTTTGGCGGGAAGGCTGATCAAACACCTGCTGCCGGTTTTGGCGGGAAGGCTGATCAAACACCTGCTGCCCATCTTGACGGGAAGGCTGATCAAACACCCCTAGCCATTGTTCTCCACACATTCTCGTTCCTTGCGTGGTAGGTTTTCTGTCCCCTCCTGTGCTTTTGGGGGGTAGAGGGGTGTGCTTTTGGGGGTTAAAGGGGTGTGGTTCTGGGGGGTATAGAGGGGTGTGCGTCTTCTTGGGGGTATAGAGGGGTGTGCTTCTTGGGGGTATAGAGAGGTGTGGGGTGTGCTTCTTGGGGGTATAGAGGGGTGTGCTTTTTGGGGGTATAGAGGGGTGTGCTTCTGGGGGTTAGAGGGGTGTGGCGATCCTTTCGGCTCAACCGCACAAAATTGCAGATATGCCCTTGGAGTTTAGGACAACCTAACACTTGCCCATTTTCGTACACGGGCCCTTCAACACCTTTAAAGGCGTGGGTATGCCCCCATACCTCTGCCACCCTCCCTCTCTTTTTTTTCCTTTCCTTTTTACAATTAGACTCTGTTCATTTAATTACACATGCAAACTAATACCTCCCTTTCTTCTTCTTCTCTTCTTCAAAGCCTTAGCACGCTTTCCTAAGGCCACCAGCGTTCTCAGAGAGCCTTGGATTAGGCTGCTCAAGAACCTGGTACTGTGGAGGGACAGCGTGAGGCCGATTTCCGGGAAGGGGTAGCTGCGTGGAATTGGTGACGTATATACGGGTATTATTTCAGCCTGTGAAGCGTAAGGTAGAAATTCAAATCGTAATAGTAGAAATTCCGTGTGAGGTAGTGACTGATGTTTATTTACTAGGATATCAGCTTCTGTAAATTATTTCTCTCCTACCCTAGGAATTCCGTGGCACTGCCACTGTATCCCCGACACGGTATTACCGGACTACCCGTCCGGTCTCGGAATATTTTTTGGGAATTCCTGTAAATTAAATTTGTTTTTTTTATAGGAATTACGTGGCGAGGCCACGTTAGCCCGTTGCCAGTAAGGCAACCCTGGTACGGTACTACCGGAATTTTCGCTTATTCCCAAAGGGCGGGAAAGGCTGATGTCGGAATTTGAAATTGTACAGGTCACAGTGCGACGGATTTTGAAAGTACAGGTCACGCACGTACGCACGTGTAACTGACTGGACCGAGGTGCCACGTACCGGGTGAGTAGGCCGGATCCACGACAAACAGAGTAATCCAATGAGGAATTAGTACGGCGGAGATAGCTGGCCAATGGGAGTTCGTAACTTAGTTAAGGAGAGTTAGAAGAGGAGAGTTGATCGTTCGAAAGGCTGGTGACGGAAAAGAGTCATTGGTCATCATATGGTACCCCGACACACGAACATGCGGGGAAAGCTGGCTGCAGGCTTAGTCGTCGCGCCAAAAATTCATACGTAACGGGCAATAAAACGTTCGTTGTAACGTCTATGTGGCAGTCCAGCCGTAGCTGTAGTAGCGCGTGGAAGTGCCCGCCAGGGGCGGAAGTGCCGTGTTGACGTAGCGTCTCACTTGGCGATCAATATTTAGGAGGGCAAGGCCTGATCGGCCCTCAGTTCTCAGAAGGAAGGTATGATCGGTGGGCCGCAAGACTAGGGTGAGTGGATAGCGCCCTAAGGATGATCGGAGCGCAACCGATCGAAACGCGTCGGGGAATGTGCGTGTGTGTTGAGATGAGTATGCGCTGTTATGTATTGATGATCATTTGAAGCGTGTGCGAAAGGCAGTTGGCTGCTGTTTTCACTATTCTGTGTAGCATGGTAACCGGATGAGAGGAGATACTCACACTGGTGGCTGTGTCGACGACTCGTTGGCTGAGCAAAGTATTTCACGATAGTTCTTTCAAGCAAAGCTGCAGACAACGGCGAGACTGTTCTGAGCAAGGTTGTAGGCAACGGCGAGACAAGGGTTATAGCAAGATAGTTGTGCCAAGGCCTTCTTGGCGATTTCGAGCGGTGACAGCATGGCGTCGTAGGGCAATGCAGGGACCGGAGCTGGCGGGGCAAGTAGCTCGATCATGTGCTACAATTGCAACCAGGCGGGCCACATAGCGAGAGACTGCCTAGTGGGGAAGGGACAACTTGAAGGCAACTTCACCAACAATGCGAAGTATTCGCAGTCAAGAAGGAGAATGAAGATAGCATAAACCGAGTGGTGAGATGGGCAGATTACAACATGCCAAAGGAAATGGAGAAGGAGGAAAACAACAAGGCAGAGGAGGAGAGAAGAAGGTTAGAAGTGGATCGCAGAAAGCAGCAAATGGAAGAGGAGAAGCGGGACGAGAAGATTCGAAGGATGATGCTGGAAGAGTTCGATCGAAGAGATAGGAAAATTGAAGAGGCGGAACTGAGAACGATTGCCGCAGTATCAAGCTAGGTTACCAACGGTCCGGGGGCCGGTCATCTCCCCCGGACGTCTCCCCCATACGTCCGGTACCCCCGTCGTCCGGTAAAAAAAAATTTTTTTTCGTAAAAAATATATATATATATATTTTTTCGGTTTTCGATTTTTAACTCATGATTGACTGCGAATTTGAACATGACTCCAAGGCAAACGTTGCTTGTATTGTTATGTTACATAACATATAGTGTTTTCAGATTTTTCTGAGAACTCTTGTTTTTTTTTTTTTTTTTTTGCGCTAGGTCGGACAACCCCTGTCCGGTCGGACGTACGACCAGACGTCCGGTCGGACATCCCGGACGGTCAGGGGGGTCCCAGACGTCCGATCCAACAACCTAGGTATCAAGGGATCTACGGAACTTCTAAGCGGAGATAAGAACAGAAATCTAGATGACGTTAGGTATAAACTCCAAGACCCCGAAACGGGATAGAGAGGCGTTCGTGAACAGACTCGACACATACCTTACGGAGGAAGAAGTCTTGACGGATGATGGATCGAAAGTACCACCGAAGAAAGCAAGAGGGAAGCGTACAACGAAGAGTTACGCAACATCGGATGACAGGGATGAAGAAGCACGAGTTATGTCAAGAGCGGATTACGAGAAGAGCTTGAGACGGAAGACCAGCACGCCGATGAAGAACTGCTCCGTAGGGAAAGAGAACCCAACATCGTGCAGTAAAGGGAGCATGGTGGATAACATCCTGGATACCAGGTCCAGGTTGATGGGGAAGGAATGGCGAGAAGTGAAGAAGCTTTGCGAGGCGAGAGATATCACCCAGATCTCTAAAGAGCAAGGTGTATGTGAGCTTCTCAACAGAGCAGCACGGGGCAAAGACGTCGAGCTTTTGGACGAGAGTTGGGAGCGTGGAGACATTCAGGATCAATGACGGTTTCGCCGGGGGTATCCCCTCGGAGTTCTTCTTCTTCAAAGCCTTAGCACGCTTTGCTAAGGCCACTAGCGTTCTCAGAGAGCCTTGGATTAGGCTGCTCGAGAACCTGGTACTGTGGAGGGACAACGTGAGGCCGATTTCTGGGAAGGGATAGCTGCGTGGAATTGGTGCCGTATATACGGGTATTATTTCAGCCTGTGAAGCGTAAGGTAGAAATTCAAATCGTAATAGTAGAAATTCCGTGTGAGGTAGTGACTGATGTTTATTTACTAGGATATCAGCTTCTGTAAATTATTTCTCTCCTGCCCTAGGAATTCCGTGGCACTGCCACGGTATCCCTAGCACGGTATTACCGGACTACCCGTACGGTCGTATAATATTTTTTGGGAGTTCCTGTAAATTAAATTCGTTTTTGTTCTAGGAATTACATGGCGAGGCCACGTCACCCCGTTGCCAGTAAGGCAGCCCTGGTACGGTACTACCGGAATTTCCGCTTATTCCCAAAGGGCGGGAAAGGCTGATGTCGGAATTTGAAATTGTACAGGTCACAGTGCGACGGATTTTGAAAGTACAGGTTATGCACGTACGCACGTGTAACTGACTGGACCGAGGTGCCACGTACCGGGTGAGTAGGCAGGATCCGCGACGCACAAAGTAATCCAATGAGGAATTAGTACGGCCGAGATAGCTGGCCAATGGGAGTTCGTAACTTAGTTAAGGAGAGTTCGAAGAGGAGAGTTGATCGTTCGAAAGGCTGGTGACGGAAAAGAGTCGTTTGTCATCATATGGTACCCCGACACGTGAACATGCGGGGAAAGCTGGCTGCAGGCTTAGTCGTCGCGCCGAAAATTCATACGTAACGGGCAATAGAATGTTCGTCGTAACGTCTATGTGGCAGTCCAGCCGTAGCCGTAGTAGCGCGTGGAAGTGTCGTGTTGACGCAGCATCTCACTTGGCGATCAGTATTTAGGAGGGGCAAGGCCTGATCGGCCCTCAGTTCTCAGAAGTAAGGTATGATCGGTGGGCCGCAAGGCTAGGGTGAGTGGATAGCCCCCTGAGGATGATCGGAGCGCAACCGATCGAAACACGTCAAGGAATGTGCGCGTGTGCTGGGATGAGTATGCGCTGTTATGTATTGATGATCATTTGAAGTGTGTGCGAAAGCTTGTTGGCCCCTGTTTCCATTCTTCTTCTTCTTCTTCTTCTTCTCTTTCTTTTTTTTTGCTTCTTCTTGATTCTCAAATACGTCTGTCCGTCACGGTGTATCTTTCTATGTTCTTGTGGAAGATTCTTCTCATTTTGCACCGTGGCAGGTTGCTCAGTTGATGCACACATGAAACTGATGAATTGCAGACGTGAGTTTGAATCCAGTGGCGACCACAATAAAAAAATAGTTCTAATTTACAAAGCATCCAACGGTGTGCTGATGCCTTGGCCGATGTGAGGGGGAGGAGGAGGTCTGAAGACGATGTGCGAGGGGGAAGAGTACATCGTGCAAGGGGGGGGAAGAGGTTGCGCAAGGGGGAGGAAGAGGTCGCACAAGGGGGAGGAGGAGGAGGTCCGAGGAGGGGGAGGAGTGGGTCGTGCAAGTGGGAGGAGGAAATCGTGGGAGGCGCAGGAGCAGGTCGCACGATGGGGAAGAGAGGTTGCACCGGTGGGTGGAGGAGGTCATGCTAGGGGGAGGAGTTCATGCGAGCGAGAGAAGGGGACCACGAGGGAGGACGAGGAGGAGGTGAGTTCGCACAAGAAGGAGGAGGTGTGTGTGTGTGTGTGTGTGTGTGTGTGTGTGTGTGTGTG